GTGCAATGAGCAGGGATTTATTTGAGGATGCATTCATGCAGAGCCCCAGTGTGGCTTGTAAGCCGGAGCTTACTACCATACCAAAAAGTACTCCGGGAGTGGAGTGGGAGCGATGCTCAAAGCACCGCGTGATAGCCAAGCTAGTTAAGCGTTGACCATGCTGAAAATGCCAGCGACTTATCACTTCACTAAGTTCAGCGAAGAGATATTTGAGAATTGCATAAAAAATGCATACCCAATTAAGAACGAGCGAAATACTTTTAAACACAAGTGCGTGTGTGTGTTCGCTGCACTTGGTTTATGCGGGAATGCAATATAAATGCGTGTGGGTGTTCGCTGTTCTTTGTCTATGCGGGAAATGCATAAGTCGCTTAAACAATAATATATCGTGAAAATTTCGTATATCAATGTAAATTCAATACACTGGGATAGGGTTTTTGAACCGGCAGCCGAGATGAGGCGATCTCCCACTCAGCCGTTGAGAATAGCAGCCCTTTTAATCCTCAGTACTCACAGTTTTCCCTTTGTTTATTTAAAACTCATTAATTTTTTTATATAAAAATATGACATATTTTATAACAAAACCCATATCCCTTTAGATATGTCGATCAATTATTATTACCAAACAAGAAATCAACACAAAAAATGTATACTCACTTTGGTCAAATGTGCTTGGATTAATGTAGCTAATCAAGTCTTGATCTGACATAGTGGTCAATTCTTGCGGAATAGGCGGTTGAAGAGGTACAGGTCCGACCGCAGCGCCAGGATGAATGCCTGCCGCCGCAGCTGATGTTTGTTGAGTAACGATGGCACCATTTGTAGTCACGGCAGCGGCTGCCACTGATTTTTGCATAGAATTTTCCGTGGCCAATGCGACGATGAGAGATTCCTGTGGCGTTGTGGGAGGACTGTGGTGGAACAGAGAGAGAATGATGAATAAGCATACATATTCAAAAATTGTAGTAGGGTATAAATTATAGTTAAGTGACACTTACATGCCCAAAGAGAATTGTGACTGAACTTCATTGACCGCTGCTGCTGCCGCGACTGCTGCAGATGGCGACACGTCTGGGTGGTTTAAAAGCAAGTTAACTAAGGGACTTGTATTGGCATTTGAGGCTGCTGCTGCTGCTGCCGCTGCCGCCGCCGCTGCTGCTGCGGCTGCTGCTGCCGCGCCATTCATCAATGCTTGCGGTGACTGTTGCTGCTGCTGTTGTTGTTGTTGATGATGAAGTTGCTGCTGCTGCTGCTGATGCTGTTGCTGAAGGCGATGTTGCTGCTGTCGGTGTTGGTGTTGTTGTTGCTGCTGGTGATGTTGTTGTTGCTGCTGATGATGTTGTTGTTGCTCCTGATTAGATATTAAATCGGCCGCAGCTTTAATAATCATATTACTGACAGCAGTGGATGTTGCCACAGTCACAGGTTGTTCAGCTGCCTGTTCCGCATTGGCAACATTATCAACCACCGCAGCAGCCGTATTCGGCGGACTCATTATAATATTGCTGAGCGCAAGCGCTGCCACGGCAGCATCTTGTTGAGTTGGCTGCGGCTGCATTGCAATGTCATTCAAAATCGAATTGGCCATGGTGACTTGGTGTGGCGCCATGATATTCGGCACCACCGCAGTGGCAGCACCATTAGCTGAACACAAAATAGTGGACGGTGAAACTGCGGGATTCATGATCATTTCAGTGGAGATACTATTGGGATCGGCGACTGCTGCGCCAGTGGTCGTTCCACCTGGAACGGCAACGGCAGCTTCGACCACTGCGTTGGCTGAAACGGCTGCAGCGCTGTTGCCACCCAGTGGAGCGGGCAAGAGTTGTTGCATTGGCATAGCATTCAGCACAGCGGCGGGTTCCGAGTTCAATATAATATCCTGGGTGATGGGAGAATTATGACCATTCAGCGAATTATTCGGCGATACCGAAAGTGTAGCTGTCAAGCTGTTGTGTGGCGAAGAACCGCTCGAGCTGTTGGAGTGAGAGGAGGAGTTGCTCGATATGGATAAGCTGCGTTCGAGTACAGGAGGCTGTTGCTGTGCATTTGCCTGCTGCATAATATCACCGAACGGATGATCAATGACCGGACCAACGGCGCTATTAACACCACCAACGCCACCGAAAAGCGACTCCTCCGCAGCCGCTGCAGCAACCACGGCGGCCACATTCGGGTCGTCTGCCACTGCAGTGGATTTGGTCAAATCGGTGATGAATTTGTCCACTGCGACTGCCTGCTGTTGCTGTGCCACAACTTTAGCGATTTCCGTCTTGACGGCCAACTCAACAGCAGCTGCTACGGAAGGTGGCGGCTGTACTGGAAAGGCCGGCATGCTGTTCGAATCATACATCATTGTGTCCATGCTAGTTTTGCGGTCATAGTGTGAGTGAAACTGCATGGCAGCTGTGGGACTGATGGGTGCGCCACAATTGGCCATAACGGCATCTGTCGGCTGTATCGACTCAGCCAAAGAACTTTGCGACGTTTCGTCGATCAGCTCAGTCTTGAGTGTTTCGGCAACATTTAGATGGGCCAACTGTTGATCTGTCAGCATGGGTGTGGCTGTGGGCAATGACGGGCGTCGCACGCCCATCGGCATTTGTGTAGTGATTGGTGGCGGCATCATACCTGAATCGATTTCATGTTTGGTTTCTTGCGCTGGCCAAAGTACTGCGCCACCAGCTCCGCCCATTGGTGGGGCCAAGGGGTTCGATGTGTCCATAAATGTGCCAGCATCTACAAATATACATAAGAATCCGTTAATAACGCCCAGATAGGTTGAAGCAGTGATAGAATGTCGTTTGTTAAGAAAATAAAAATAAAACTATATGTCATTGAAAATGTGGACAAACATATTAAGTTACTCTTTTTTGTTTTGGTATTGAAAAATATATGTTAATATATATTTTAACGAAAACTTAAATATACGCTTACTGCTAGGTCAAATATGCTAGGGACTTATGCTAATTTGGTTCAAATCTATATGTTACAACTATAGTGTCTATTTATTAATTTTGGTTGTTTCCAATTAAAATACATAATTTTTTTTTCATTTTCTATTTTTCACCAGCCAAATTGTTTGTATTCATTAATATTTGCGTCTCCATGTATGTATGTGAGTATGCATTTTGCAACCAAATGTAAAAGGATAGCAATAATTAAAAATTAATACAGACATGGATTTTCGTTTTGGATGATGAGTAGGGGAAATTACTTTGAGTGCATTACAAGCAATCGTCGCATCCACACGCTACCTCTTAATACCACTTTCCCCATAAATCTGTGGTCATAAGCAATAAACGTCTAAGTCGACTTAAGAAAGAATGGAGTTATACATATATGCTAGCGTATTCTTCAACTCCTATTCCATGCATACGTGAATTCCCCATCTCGCCAGCTAGGCTATTTAAAAAGTTATAGGCGAAAATGTTTTCGTCTTCCCGAAAGGCTAACATTACAATTCAATTAGGCGGTTATTGCTTATGACCGCAGAAATGTTGGTACGCACGCACGCACGCATACATACACACACCAGTACATACATTGAGAAGAAATAGTACGAGCACAAAAGCAGCAAAAGTTCAAAAGAGCAGTGGAGCCGAAGGATACCTTTACGGAATTTTTGATACGACTGTAGACTTCATTAGTTGCTA